CTGAAGCCCCTCAAGCCCCCCCCCCCCTGGCTACATGCCTGGTTCTGACAGTCTTTCCTTCCTCCCTATATGTCATCCTTGCCTGGCAGAACAATGACAGCCTTAAGAATCACTGGAATAAGACATTTAACCCATTAATGCAGTTTGGATAATAAGTAGAGAAACAAATTAATCATTAATATTTCTAAAGCCGTTCCAGAGATATGGGGATTTGGGGGAGGGGGGGATTAAGAGAGATCAAAGAAGCATGGCAGTACATATGTGCCTTAAACTTGCCTGTCGTCCACTGATGTCTCCTTGAATTTCATAGGGTTTTCTTAGGTAAGGAATACTCAACGGCAGCTTTGTCAGCTCCTTTCTTTGAAATATAACTTACAGTACCCACATTTCCTTGTAAGGGTTCCATCCAAGTACTAAGCAGGTCTGACCCTACTTAGCCTCCAAGATCAGCTGAGATCTGGTAACTTCAGGGTACTTTGGTACACGTAGGATTATATGCAGCCCTTTGTTTTATACATGTCAACATATGCAGCTGTGCCTAGAGGAAGGTAAGCCTCTCTCATGTTTTAATGATACCATTTCATATACGTGAAAGGAGCCAAAAAAGCCCCAAGACTTGGACTTTTCTTTGGCAGTCACAAGGTCTCTCACACACGCTCCTACCCCACCCTTCCACCCCCAGGCTGAAATAGCTCGGTTCTCTCGCAAAGGAAGTACCGACATTTGCTATGGGGGTGGCAGAGAGAAACGAGGAAGGCACCATCTGCCTGTCTCCAGTTTCCAGCAATGGCCAAGTCTGTATCTTTCTAGGAGCAGAAGTTGCTATCAAATATTAACAACATGCCATGGCTAAGAGATGATCCTCAAAGAGATCCATGTTCTTCTGCTATTCTATTCTCATTACAAGGAAAATATTTAATCCCCCAAATGGCCCATATGACTTCAACCATGTCTACCAGCGATGTCCACATACTGCCTTAAAAGAAAAATCCTGGTCTTTTCTTCGCAACCTATTTAAAGCACTAATTGAAATGAAAAATAACGGAGCTCATGACTGAAAACATCAAAGTTTAGACTTAAACCATCAAATAATTCTCCCAAATGTGTCCTAGAGGCTGAACGCTCCTTGTTAAATAAACATTTATCTCTAGCTATCACATCTGCAGATTGTTTCCTTATTATTTGTTATGCACCTATCAGCATAGGCTCCTCAGTCTTGATGGGTCTCATTGGAGTGGCTGGTAGTTCTCACTACTCATTGGGATGGCTGGTAGTTCTCACTAAAGGGCCAGTAGATCAATTCTGGGGTTTGCTGTCATATATAGTCTGCTCTGAACTGAATAGAGCTCTGATAGTACCGAGTCTTCCTTTGGCTCCAGCAACAAGGAGTAGCTATAGGAGGAATGGCATTAAAAACCATTCCTGATTGTGACAAATCTGACAGCCACACTTGGACAAAATAGACTACTATATCTGCTGCTTTCTGTTAGAACTAAAACCTTGATGAGATTCCCGTGGAATGCCAGTTTGGTGGTTACACTGGTGTTCACACAACCCGTTAAATTGGTGCCAGAAGAGATCATTGGGAAGATGTGGGACCCATCACTACATCCTCAGTGCTCTCTCTGTGCTGTTGTATTCCACATATGCAATTAAATGTGATGGAAAGATTTTATACAAGATCTAATGGTTGTGTTCCTGTTTCTTTTGTTAAAATGTTTCAGTATAATACTGTGGAAAATACAATAAACTATCATGAGCTACTAGTCAAGAAAAGTATATACAGATTATTTATTGATTCCACAATATCATAGCACTGTCTATTTCAGTTGGTTCAATGGGCAGTGGCCAGGCTGTTAACTGGTGCTCCTTACAGGGAGAGGTCAACCCTCCTGTTTAAGGAGCTCCATTGGCTGCCGTTCATTTTCTGGGCCCAATTCAAGGTGCAGGTGCTCACCTACAAAGTCCTAAATGGTTTGGGACCCATCTACCTGCGTGACCACATTTCTGTATATGAACCCGCACGATCTCTTCGTTCATCTGGAGAGGCCCTGCTCGTGATCCCACCGGCATCGCAGGCGCGATTGGTGGGGACGAGGGACAGGGCCTTCTCGGTGGTGGCCCTACGACTCTGGAACTCCCTCCCCAAGGACATCAGGCAGGCCCCAACGTTGGCAGTTTTTAGAAGGAGCTTGAAGACGTGGATGTTCCAGTGTGCCTTCCCAGAAAAAGGACTCCCAAGCAATATGTTCCAAATGCACTTTACGAGAGAGTTAGTACTGTCTGCACGCCCACCTTTCTTTAAAATATCCAACCTATTACCCTGGACATGCCCAGCATTTTAAAATTTTAATTCTTACATTTGGCCCTGCCACAGGTTTTTAATTGCGTCATGTCATTATTGTATTGTTTTGTTTTGTTATGAGTTATTTATTGTTGTATTGTTGTTGTTATGCTTTATGATGTATTTAGGCTCGGCCTCTTGTAAGCCACACAGAGTCCTGCGGGAGATGGTAGCGGGGTATAAATAAAGGATTATTATTATTATTATTATTATTATTATTATTATTATTATTATGTCTTGTTTTAGAAGTTTATTCCTAAAAGTATCTGATTATCATCCTATACTATAATCTCTATGAGCTCAATTGTTTGACTCGACCATGCTACCTGCCCTATGCTATGTACAGAGACATGAATAAAGGCTCTTTCGGAACAACTACAGGTCATACATGCCTCACTTGAAAGACCATTCATTGTGATGTCCCCCCAAATGCAGAGAAAACATGGACTGCACAACGAGCATGTTTGAAAAATAACACAAATGAAAGATCCTCTATGCCTTTGGTTCTTAACCTGGGGTCCCCAGATGTTTTTGGCCTACAACTCCCAGAATTCCAGTTAGTTTACCAGCTGTTAGGATTTCTGGGAGTTGAAGGCCAAAAATATCTGGGGACCCCAGGTTGAGAGCCACTGCTCTATGCTACACTGCCCAACTCAGCATTGCTTTGCACGCCGTGTGATGCACAGAACGGATAGGTGCTGGAGCAATGCCACGGCAACATGGTATCCATGGGGATGGAGGAGATATCTTTGTCATCCTCCCACCTGATGGTCTGATTCATTTGTATGGCATATAATGAGAAAGATGAACATGGTCGTACAATGATACACCGCTCAACTTGTGCTCAAAATAGATACAAATGGAGGCAAACAGAGAAGATGTTGTTATCCATGCAAAAGCTGAGGAATGGATCGTCTAAGCATCTAAGCACTATAATGTCTACAAATATGACATGAAGTTTGTTGCCATGTGCCTTCAAGTTATTTTTGACTTATGACAGTGCAAAAGCAAATTAATCATGGGGTTTTCTTGGCCAGTTACATGGAGTTGCCTGGGGATTGAAACCCTTGTCTCTAGAGTTATAGTTCAGTGCTCAGACCACTATACTATTCTGAGCACAATTCAAAGTGCTGGTTTTAACCTATAAACCCTTTATGGTTCCAGCCGAGTTTACCTGTTCAAACGTATTCTCCCCTACAAATCATCAAGGACGTTTTGGAGAGGCCCTGCTCTCGGTCTCACCACCTTCGCAGTTGTGTCTGGTGGGGACAAGAGACAGGGCCCTAAAAGTATCTGATTATCATCCTATACTATAATCTCTATGAGCTCAACTGTTTTATGTATTCTCCCCTACAAACCATCAAGGGCGTTCTGGAGAGGCCCTGCTCTCGGTCTCACAACTTTCGCAGTTGCGTCTGGTGGGGACGAGAGACAGGGCCTTCTCTATGATGGCCCCCCGGCTATGGAACTCTCTCCCAAATGAAATTAGATCTGCCACCTTCCTCCTGACCTTTAGGAAGCAGGTGAAATCTTGGCTGTGGAATGAGGCATTCACAGAATGATGGCTGAAACTAATAATTGACAGATGTATTGACCACAATGTGTGGATTGAGGACATTGTTTTATCTTGGCGAACTGGTTTTATATGTATTTTATCTTATTATATTTTTATCCATTGTTATGTATTATGTTCAAATGGTTTTATTTGTTAGCATTGAATTCTTGCTGTGAATGGTATATAAAAGTTTTAAATGAATAAATAAATTCAGCTCTCGTTTCAGAAAGTATCAGGCATATTTGTTTCATCTATATCTACTCTTCTGTTAAACTAAATCAATAAAACGGATACGGTACTTGCAATAATCTAATCAAATGTCCCATTCTCTCACTATTTGGGCCAATGTTTATGTTTATTTGATGTTTTCAGAGTGCTCAAGATCAAATACTCATTTAGGTGCAATGGTGGAAATGTAACCTAATATTCCTTTCCTACTTCCCAATGCTTTGAGATAGACAGGCAGACAGATATGAACTATACTGTTTCCTTTGTTCATCTTACTGATAATGCTGGAACAGAAGCCTCTGCTTCCTTCTACATCCACTAGAGAACGCTTCCCAGCTTACTTACAACAAACATGGCTCTGTTGTAGCGTAGCTTTTGTTTTTCTATAAGCAGATTTTCAAGAGTTCCATATTTGATGTAATAACCTTGATTTTTTTTTGACCAGAGACATATTATTTTCCATCAAAGTTGCATGCAAAATCATGCAAAAATGGAAAAGATTAAATCATTTGTTAAATAATATTAAATATGCATATTTCAGCTTTCATCAAAGTACTTAAAGCAGCAAACAAAGTTAAAACAAACATATGTCAGATAAAAATACAGTCATAGAGAAAAACAAATAGAAAGTGGGCGCCATTTAGCAATAAAAAAAAACTACTTTCATACAGTATTAGACAGGAGCTTTGAAAATTGTCATAGTCCTATCCAGCTTTTCTAACATGGATATTTTAGCAATCTGAAGCAGAAGCCTTCCTCCAGAGGCTTACAGAACCAGCCGTTTCACCTGATAGATAAAATATTCACCAACGCTTCTAAATTTTCAGATCTCTTTCGTCATGGTATTCCATAAAGTGATTTAGAAGGCCATACCTGAAATGTGTTAAATGTCTCTGGATGTCAAGGTCTAATATTGGAGTGGGTCTTGAGGATCCCAAAGGTGATCTATCTTGGCTTAGCAGGTCCTGGAATTCTTTACATATTTGCCTAGAATCAGAATAGAGGCATAATGGTCAAGCTGACATACAGGTTTGTTATGAAGACAGTCTCCCCTTATACACAATTATTATAATTACTATTTAATATAAGATATGATTCAGTAAAATTCTAAATTTCTGGAGCTCCACAAATTGAAGGCTAGAAGGATATGAGAATATCTGCCATCTATCATGGCTATATATATGGTTTAAAGAGGAAGGGCTGCAAAAATGTGCCAAAAGATGCTATTGTTGTGGCTCACTTTGAGCCGGAGCTTTCTGAGCCTGAGTTTCCTCAGGACAAGGAGGATGATGGGTTACAGATTTCTGAACATGTTCCTGTTGTTGAGGCAGACAGTGTTGATTCTGAAGAAGAGACGGCATTTCTGTTTCCCAGAGAAAGGAATGTTGTTTCAGATCATATTTTAAGTGAATATTCACAGCTGCAGGTGGATGAGTCAGCCGCTCCATCTGGGAGCTCAGTGCCTCTCAGTTCCCAGGGTGACCAGTCCCAGGATAATGAGTTATCCGGCCTTGAAGGTGATGGAGATTTGATTAGGGAGGACCATTTGCAAATGAAGGTATGCCAAAGTGCTTGGCTTGCCAATAAACAGGAAGTTTGAGGTCAACGTAATGGTTTCATGCTAGGGAAACATATTTAACGATCTGATTGAAGTCAATCCTTTGTCAGTGCAATGTTGCTTACACCCTGTTAACTTCTCTGGAATTACCTCGGCTTTGGGGAAAAGCTTTTAGCTCTTTGGGACTTTGGTTTTGAACTTGGTTTTTGGGGACCTTGTCATGCTCCCATGGATTCTTGTTTAACCAGTGCTTCATGTTATTTGGCCTTTGGATCTTGGAAACTTTACCTTTGCATTTAAGATTCTGTTTTGGCTATTGAACTTTTGCAACCTTATTTCTATATGATTTTTCTTTTTCTTCAAAAGAAAAAATCTACAAAATCTACAGCCTTGGAGTGTGGTATTGTTCTGAGCAAGGTGAATCTATCCTGAGCTGCGACAGCTATCACATGTGTCTTATAAAACATGTTCTTGCATAGTAAAGCTGTATTTGCTGAGACAAGAGTATGCCTGTCTAGCCCTTCATCTTACTGCATTATTCCTTTTCAAACACATTTTGACCATGTTGACCTTGTACATGTAGGGACATGACTCAACAGGTTTATTTGATCTGTTATTATTATTATTATTATTATTATTATTATTATTATTATTATCTTTATTTGTACCCCGCTAGCATCTCCCAAAGGACTCGATGTGGCTTACAAAGGCCAAGGCCTCAATACACAACATATCAATACAACCTAAAGCAAATTAAAAACAATTAAAGCAATATTAAACAACAAAACAACAAGCAATAAACAATACACCAAAACAGAATAAAACTGACCGGGCCAGAGTAAAGGGTGTTCCATCTAGGTGTTCCATGTACCTCCCTGTTAAAAGTCAAATTCTAAGTATCTACACTGCCATATAATCTAGTTCCAGAATGCAGATTAACTGTGTTGAATTGGATTATATGAGTCTACTCTGCTGAATAATCCATTTCAATGCAGTTAATCTGCGGTCTGAAATTGAATTATATGGCACTGTAGATGTCCCACATATGGACTTCCTGTCATCATCATAGACTATCACTCATAGCCAAGTATGATTGCCTTCCAAGTGTAGGGTCTTGGTCGTGACTGTAGAGACCTATTCTGGATCTGCATGTTTTTCTGCAGTGAGGACATCAATTTCCAGATGGAAGGTGGTCCCAACAAGAGTTGACTTGAAGTGCCTTCCTCTTGACACGTTTTTCCCTTTCACCCTCCATTCGTGCCTCTTCAAATTCCACAACACTGTTGGTCACAGCTGACCTTTAGTTAGAACTCTTGGGGATCATGGTTTCCCACTTCTTGGTGTCTATGACACAGTTTTAAGGTGAGCTTTAAGCCAATCTTTAAACCTCTTTTCCTATCCATTAACATTCCAATTTCCATTCTTGAGTTGGAAGTATAGTAACTGCATTGGAGATGGTGATTGGGCATTTGGACGAGGTGGCCAGTCCAGCAAAGTTGATGACAGAAGAATATTGCTTCAGTGGTGGTGTTTCTTTGAAAAGCAAACCTCTTTCCTACTTGATGTGCAACCCCACTTCAAAGAATCCCCTTTGGCTATATCCAACATAGTGGTCCACAAATCACTGAAAAGAGTCAAAATGGAAGGAAGCAAGGCATTACTTTTATTAGGCCACACACACTCATTAGAATTAAGATATGCAAAAATGTACAAATATAGAAAACCCAGCATTTATCAAAATCAAATCCAATTGAAATAAGTGACCGAAGTGACTTCAGTGGCCTCATCCACACTGCTATATAAAATCCAGATTATCTGCTTTGAACTGGATTATATGGCAGTGTAGACGCATGCAATCCAGTTCAAAGCAGATACTCTGGATGATTTGCTTTGATAATCTAGATTATATGGTAGTGTAGATCCAGGCAATGTTGGTTTATATAACATGACATTGTCTTCTGAAATGTGTTTTGAATGGAAAGGGTTGACTAAAATTTGACCCCAATATGTTAAGAACTTTTTCCACCCCCCCCCCCCAATTTCATCTAAAGCCTTACTAGGAATTAAAAAATAATTATAATTATATATAATATATATAATATAATTATAGAGTTGTTGTAGGTTTTTTCGGGCTATATGCCCATGTTCTAGAGGCATTCTCTCCTGACGTTTCGCCTGCATCTATGGCAAGCATCCTCAGAGGTAGTGAGGTCTGTGGGAACTAAGAAAAGGGGTTTATACAACTGTGGAATGACCAGGGTGAGACAAAGGACTCTTGTCTGCTGGAGCTAGGTGTGAATGTTTCAGCTGACCACCTTGATTAGCATTTGATTGCCTGGAGCAATCTTTTGTTGAGAGGTGATTAGATGTCCTTGCTTGTTTCCTCTCTGTCGTTTTTAATACTGGTAACCAGATTTTGTTCATTTTCATGGTTTCCTCCTTTCTGTTGAAATTGTCCACATGCTTGTGGATTTCAATGGCTTCTCTGTGTAGTTATTGTCATTTTGTTACTGTTATGATTCGTAATGTATTATTATTATTTTTATTTGTACCCCGCTAGCATCTCCCGAAGGACTCGATGCGGCTTACATAGGCCAAGGCCTCAAAACACAACACAACAATACAACACCTAAAGCAAATTAAAAACAGTTAAAGCAATATTACAATAAACAATACATCAGGACACTATAAAACTGGGCCGGGCCAGAGTAATGGGTACAAGATTAAAAGTGCTGATATGACAGGAGGTATGTAGGATTATAGGGTAGTCTGACATGGTGGTTGTTGGAGTGATCCAGCATTTCTGTGTTCTTGAAGCCTTTGACAATACAATATAATTATAATTATATATTTACATTACATGTAATATTACTAATAATATTACAATATAATGGTATAGTGCAATATAGTAATATATAATACTGATATTGTACTATGCTAATAATATAATATATTGTATGAAAATGTATCTTGTAAGCCGCTCTGAGTCCCCTTTGGGGTGAGAAGGGCAGCATATAAATGCCGTAAATAAATAAATAAATAAGAAAGTTCTGATCCTTTTACACACCGATGTATTGTGATCCATTCATGTCATGATAACACTGGACTTTGCATTAATGTGAATGCATTGAGGCTTTCGTATTTTCCACTGAACACAAGATACAAGAAGTGGCTCCTATTGATCATGTCACTTCACTTCACTTAGGCAATCCCTCGTTTTCCGAGGAGGATTGTCTTCCAGTATTCTTGTGGGTCTGTATGTGGCTGTGGAGCCCTATTCTTGCTCTGCATCTTCTTCCGCAGTGAGGGCATTGGTTTCCAGGTGGGAGGCGGTCTCGGTCGGGGTTGGCTTGACGCGCCTTCCTCTTGGCACGCTTCTCCCTTTCGCCCTCCATTCGTGCCTCTTCAAATTCTGCAGCACTGCTGGTCACAGCTGACCTCCAGCTGGAGCGGTCAAGGGCCAGGGCTTCCCAGTTGATCACGTACTCCTTGGTGAGCTCCCAGAAATCAAGCCGACCCCACAAGCCCATGCACCGAACTCATCTCCCTGCCTAGAGAAAAACCCTTCGAGGGAGTAACTCCATCTAAAAAAAAATGTGTTTTCTAAATAAATGGTCCAGAACAAGAGGTGTAGCTTCTCAGATCTTGAAACACAGATCTTGAAACACAATATCCAGTAGTAGGCCATACACATCTGTGACATTCTTATTATGTCCAGTAGAGGGCAATGATGACATACTAGAAAACAAAGAAATTGAAGCCATTCCCCAGTTGCCATTCCTAAGGCAGTAGATGCCAGTGATGCACAATGAGCCCCAAGCTTGCCATTCCTAACCCAAACTCTCATTCTCATGCAAATGGCATCGATGCCTGAAGAGTGTACCAATGGAAATTCTGAGATTTTGTGGGTCCTTCTTTCAAATTTCACCTTACAAATAAAAATAGACGTGGGGAGGGGGCGAACTTACAAAACACGTGAAAGATAAGACTCTTCTGCAGACTCTATAATCTCTAATGCTACACCACTACATGAAGTGTATTTTTGGTGTAGCTTCCAACATATTGTCAGAGTTCATTTGTGTAGCACACTCCTAAAAACACTCACCCGTAAATATGTATCAGGGAGTTGAGTACAACTCATCCACAAGTTAGTGGATTCAGTATCGCAGTCTCCATGTGCAATAAATTTGAAAATTAATGTGTTTTTCAAAGAGAGGCAGCAGGGTTATCCACTGTGTCCAAGGTCTGAAACAGTTGGCACAAGTCATTCATTTAATAGTCTTCAGAAAATAAGAAAAGCCACATGCTCTTTCTACCCTGACATGTAAATCCAGATTATCCACTTTGAACTGGCTTATATGGTAGTGTTTGTTGTTTATTCATTCAGTCGCTTCCGACTCTTTGTGAACTCATGGACCAGCCCACGCCAGAGCTCCCTGTCGGCCGTCACCACCCCCAGCTCCTTCAGAGGCAAGCCAGTCACTTCAAGGATCCCATCCATCCATCTTGTCCTTGGTCGGGCCCTCTTCCTTTTTCCTTCCATTTTCCTCAGCATAACTGTCTTCTCTAAGATAATAATAATAATAATAATAATAATAATAATAATAATAATATCTCCAGGTATATTGTTGTTGTTGTTGTTGTTCATTCGTTCAGTCGTTTCCAACTCTTCGTAATCTCATGGACCAGCCTATGCAAGAGCTTTCTGTCGGTCATCACCACCCCCAGCTCCTTCAGAGTCAATGCCAGTAACTTCAAGGATATCATCCATCCATCTTGCCCTTGGTTGGCACCTCTTCCTTTTTCCTTCCATTTTCTCCAGCATCAATGTCTTCTATAAGCTTTCCTGTCTTCTCATGATGTGGCCAAAATACTTCATCTTTGCCTCTAATATCCTTCCCTCCAATTAGCAGTCGGGCTTCATTTCATGAAGTATAGACAGGTTGGATCTTCTGGCGGTCTAAGGCCCTCTCAGAACTTTTCTCCAACACCACAGTTCAAAAGCATCTATCTTCCTTCGCTCAGCCTTCCTTATGGTCCAGCTCTCACATCCATAGGTTACTACGGGGAATACCATTGCTTTAACTATGCATATCTTCGTTGCCAGTGTGATGTCTCTACTCTTCATTATTTTATTTATATGATAGCATAGACACATATAATTCAGTCTGAAGCAGATAATGTGATAATATGGATTATATGGCAGTGTCAAATGGGCCTTAATCTGGGCCTTAATCATATGCCACTGTTGACTTTGATAATCAGGATTATATTTGAGTGCTGAATTACTTCAAGAGCAGTTTTCAAATGCACATGTAATTTTTTTTGTTTTGGAATTTACTCACTTGGTTGCTAAGATCATCTTTTTCCTTGCTGTCTGTTCCTTCTGTTCCATGTGTTGCCTTGCAAGATGTTCCCCAACTGCTTTGGCTGGGAATTCCGTTTCACAGGTGTAGCCAAAATCCCTGGCCAAATGTAAAGCTTCTCCTATGAGCAGAGAGAAAATAATTGTAAATACATAGGTCGCTTGCTGGGAAAACATGGATTACCAGCATTTTTTTACCTGCTAACATCCCAGAACGGCTTATATATGGCCCCTTCCACAAAGCTGTATAAAATCCACATTGAACTGGATTTTATGACAGTATGGACTCAGATAATCCAGTACAAAGCAGATATTGTGGATTATCTGCCTTGATATTCTGGGTTATATGGCTATGTGGAAGAACCCTAAGAAATCAATGAATTTATAGAGGTAAGAGAGAGGATTCCCCGGAACCAAGCAAAATGTTCACTGGGAATTCCTATTCATGTATTTTATTATCACCTTTACACAAGAAATATACAAAACATGTCTAACAATATTTATTTATTTATTTATTTCATATATTTATATCCCGCTCTTTTCCCCACAAGCGGGACTCAGCGCGGCCTCACATGAGCATCAGAGGATGCTAACAGCATAAATACCATAAAAATTACAATTCACAATAATATCATTTTAAAATGTTGTACATCATCATCACTGAAATTTAACAATAAATTAATAGATTTTTTGTTTTGTTTGTTTTTTTGTCGTGTCAGGAGTGACTTGAGAAACTGCAAGTCGCTTCTGGTGTGAGAGAATTGGCCGTCTGCGAGGACGTTGCCTAGGGGATGCCCGGATGATTTTGATGTTTTATGGGAGGCTTCTCTCATGCCCCCGCATGAGGAGCTGGAGCTGATAGAGGGAGCTCATCCGCCTCTCCCCGGGTTCGAACCTGTGACCTGTCGGTCTTCAGTCCTGCTGGCACAGGGGTTTAACCCCCTGTGCCACTGGGGGCTCCTAATAGATTAATGTGCCAGTAAAACCAAGCCAAGCCAGGAGAATCCATGTAGCAAAATCCAACTTTCCTTTTCCTATTGCCGCTGGCCTCTAATCGAACGCCTGACCCCAGAGCCAAGTCTTCAGTTGTCTTCTAAAGACAACTAGAGGGAGGTGGCCAACCTGATATCCTTAGGGAGAGAGTTCCACAGACAGGGGGGCCGCTGCCGAGAAGGCCCTGTCTCTCATCCCCACCAACCGCGTTTGCGAGAGTGGTAGGATCGAGAGCAGGGCCTCTCCTGATGATCTTAAGCTTCATGATGGTTCATAGCAGGAGATATGTTCGGACAGGTAATCTGGGCCAGAACTGTTCAGGATTTTTAAAGGTTAAAACCAGCGCTTTGAATTGTACCCAGAAGCTAATGGGCAGCCAGTGGATCTGGCGCAACAGAGGAGTGGTACGCTCCCTGTACGCAGCTCCAGTTAACCTGGCCACCGACCGCTGGACTAACTGGAGCTTCCGAGAAGTTTTCAAAGGCAGCCCCACATAGAGAGCATTGCAGTAGTCTATTTGAGATGTAACCAGAGCGTGGACCACCGTGACCAGCTGGCACACAAGCTTTAATTGTGCAAAAGCTCTCCCAGCCACCACCGAGACCTGGGACTCCAGGCTCAGCGATGAGAAAAATATAATTTGACATTAAAAATTACTATCAGTTAAAGACATGCCCATGATGAGGCAGTCTTATGGTATGGTAAAATAATTTTATGGTTGGGGGTCACCACAACACGAGGAACTGTATTAAGGGGTCACGGCATTAGGAAAGTTGAGAACCATTGCTATAGATTATAGAGATAGCTGTGTTTTTCTATCCCAGCAGCCTCAGATGCTCCCAGTTTCTGGATCTCACATTCAGTCTGAAAGGGAAGGAGCATTAGTGGGGAGGGGGCTTGCCCAGTTCTGCAGAAGATCATGTGGCCTGGATAGTCCCACACAGTATTTGCTATTCCCTCGGCTGCTCATTTAAGACAAGCTTCAGCATTTAATTAAAGAGTGGAAGCCCACACAATCAATATACTTGGAAAAAGAAAACAGGCAGGGAAAGAAAAAATCACTCCCAAACACACAAAACACTTGAGTAATCAGACACTGGGGAGAAACAGTGGACTTGTCGACACTGAGAGTTATTGTTAGTTTTAAAGCTGTCTTCAGATTATTGCTGCTCCTTTATTTTTGAGATCAGGGGGTGGTAATGTTACTGCAGAGCTGTCAGTTCTTCTTTACACCCATTCATTTGCGTGTGCATCTGTACATGGACGTGTGTGTGCATGTTTGTGTGTACTGCTATGCTCTTTTTCTATGGTTCAGCAAGTTTTTAGTAGTATTCCTAAAATTCAAGGCTGTAGCTACAAAAGCTTTAGCTGCATAGAGGCAAGTGTTGCTGATACTTGAGTATGATGGTGTCACTTTTTCTCTCTTAAAGGAGAATGGCGCTTTAAATTCCACCCATGGGAGAAAAGTGGGATAACAAATAAATATATATAAAAATAATAGAGACTCAAAGTGGATGAAAATGCTAAAAAAATAAAATGCACATTTGAAGACATATAAACAATAAAATAGAATTAAACATAGAAGTATTTAAATACAGTCAGTCTCCAAATTACAATCAGGATAGGTTCTGTAAGTTTGTTCTTAAGATGAATTTGTATGTAAGTCAGAATAGGTACATGTTTAAGTGTAACTCCAACCTATCTATCTATCTATCTATCTATCTATCTATCTATCTATCTCTGTGAGCGCATTTTTCCGAATGAAGTAGAGAGTGTTTGAGGACCGGGACATCCGTAGGGATACCAAGGTGCTTGTTTATAAAGCTATTGTCCTCCCAAACCTGCCTGCAAAACGTGGACTGTCTACAGACGTCACATGCAACTCCTGGAACGATTCAATCAGTGCTGCCTCCAGAAAATCCTGCAAATCTCTTGGGAAGACAGGCGGACAAATGTCAGTGTGCTGGAAGAAGCAAAGACCACCAGCATTGAAGCGATGGTCCTCGTCCATCAACTCCATTGGACTGGCCACATTGTCCGGATGCCCGACCACTGTCTCTCAAAGCAGTTGCTCTACTCTGAACTCAAGAACGGAAAACGGAATGTTGGTGGGCAGGAAAAGAGATTTAAAGATGGGCTCAAAGCCAACCTTAAAACTCTGGCATAGACACTGAGAACTGGGAAGCCCTGGCCCTTGAGCGCTCCAGCTGGAGGTCAGCTGTGACCAGCAGTGCTGCAGGGGCACGAATGGAGGGTGAAAGAGAGAAATGTGCCAAGAGGAAGGTGTGTCAAACCAACTCCGACTGGGACCGCCTTCCACCTGGAAACCAATGCCCTCACTGCGGAAGAAGATGCAGATCAAGAATAGGGCTCCACAGCCACCTACAGACTCCACAGCCACCTACAGACTCACAACAGGGCTCCAAAGCCACCTACAGACTCACTCACACCTACAGACTCACTCACACCTACAGACTCACAAGATCCCAATCAGGGATCGCCTAAGTAAGTAAGTAAGTAAGTATCTATCTATTTATAAAAGCTTTGGATAGCATAAGGAAGGGTTAACACACCCCTGTGTTGTTTGTTTTTCTGTCTGTGCCTCTGTTCAGTCGATTTCATCTCACTTTCTGTGCTGCCACTTTCTGTGCTGTTTTTGTGTTATATTGTGTTTTCTGTATTGACGGGTGTGGCCTCATGTAAGCTGCCCCAAGTCCCCTTTGGGGAGATGGTGGTGGGGTAAAAATATTATTATTATTATTATTATTATTATTATTATTATTATTATTATTATTATTATTATTCACAGGTTCCATATGTGGTTGTTCCTACAGCTATTGTTGCATTTTACTTATCTAACTGGGGGGGGGGGGGTGTTGTGATGTTTATATTGGTTGTTATTGCTTTTGTGCTATTGTCTTTGCACTTTTTGTATTTTTCGTGTTTACACCTTTCAATGCTTTGTGAGCCGTCAAGTCCCTCTGGGAGATGGTGGTGGAGTATAAATGAAGATTATTATTATTATTTGAAACACCACAAGATGAGTCCACAGCAAACAAGATTATTATCTCTGGGAGAGAGACCCGAACCCTAAAGCAATCTCACTGTACACTTGTTCAGTATCTCACTCGCAAATCACTGTGACTAGAGAACCCAGTCTGAGTTGGCTGTCATGAAACTGCTATTTTCTCTCCCCATTCTGCATGTGCTAAAATTTTCCAGATATGGAGAGCTCAGGCAGGTCTGTATCATTTTTTGCACAAATAATGCTATGAATTTGTTTCCCTTCAAAACTTTCAGGGCACTTCCAGACAGCACCCAAATCCATGCCAAACTGACTAGTCCACACAGGCCCAATACCCGATTAGACCTGGGCCTTTCAGGAAGGATAGGTCTAATTGTGTATTTAATTAATTCGAGACAAAGCAGGATTTACCTGCTTTCTCCCGAATTAATTTGTTTTTACCTGAGATGTTGTTTGGATATCTCAGGTAAAAGCCCGACAGGCCCCATATTTTTGGGCCTGTCTGGAAGGGTCCTCAGTTGCAAATGTATTTTGAAGAGTTCATATTCAAAGTCAATCTCACTTTGATTCAGATCAGGATTTTACCAATTCAGGATTCTGTCCTAAAAATGTGTGTCCTGAAAGCTTAGAGCAGTATATGAGCCCACCACACATTTAGATCTTTGTTGGACATTTCATCCACATGCTCCAGTCATTGGACGTGGCTATTTGGAATGACAACTTAAGGATGCCAAACTCACAGAACTCTGTCTCAAGGGAAGTCTATCTCAGGCCTTGCCTGGAGATTTCTTAGAGGCCCAGCCAAATTCTTTTGGAAAAGCATTTGTGGTTCTCCAATTATGTTGTTCCCCATCTGTTGTTTTGTTCCTTTGATGAATTGGATTTGAGGCTTGCTCACTTCCATACTCATGCTTCATTTGTGGATTTTGACAAGATTTCAAGACTGCCGAAAACATTTGGTTCAGAAGCCAATTCGGCATTTCAGGAGATGATGCTCTTTGACTAGGATTTGTTTGGAACCAGACTGCAGTGAGTTTGTCTTCCAAACCTAAGTCAACATGATCTCCTATTGGCTATTACTAGAAAACAAAACAAGATATTTCTCACTTTTTTGGCAGAATCATACAACATTTGCAGGCACTGTAACCCCTCAGGAGAGGGCTGGCACTGCCAAGTTGCAATGAATAATTACAGGGGTGCTTGTGTTATCCTCGTTCAGCATTTTTTTAAAAAACAGAATTACCTATCTCTTTTGAAGTAATTCTTGGAGGAATTGAAAGAAAACTACAAGTGTAGTCCCCTCTTCCAAAGGAATCAAGGCTGCAGAGTTTTATATTGATTTTTGCAGGTTTTTGGGGAAACAGCAACCTTCAAATCTGAATAGTATTTTTAAAAAAGACCTTTTTGCCTTTGGTTCTTAGGGCCTTTCACCCAACCCTATATCCCAGAATACCAAGGCAGAAAATCCCACATTATCTGAGTGTGGACTGCTCAAAGCAGATATCGTGGAATTTTCTGCCTTGATATTCTGGGATATAGCACTGTGTGGAAGGGCCCTTAGTATTCAAGAAATGGGAAACACGATGGAGATTGGGTTGTTGTAGGTTTTTTCGGGCTATATGGTCATGGTCTAGAGGCATTCTAGTGATTCCGGCCATGAAAGCCTTCGACAATATGATGGAGATTTTCATCCCCTTTACCTAGCCCCTCTCCCACCTATTTCTACCTAACAGTATTAACAAGGTTTGTTTTTTTTTTGTTGTTGTTGTGTGAGGAGCGACTTGAGAAAGTCGCTTCTGGTGTGAGAGAATTGGCCGTCTGCAAGGATGTTGCCCAGGGGACACCTGGATGATTTAATGTTTTTATCATCCTTGTGGAAGGCTTCTCTCATGTCCCCGCATGAGGAGCTGGAGCTGATAGAGAGAGCTCATCCACCTCTCCCTGGATTCGAACCTGCGACCTGTCGGTCTTCAGTCCTGCCAGCACAGAGGTTTAACCCACTGCGCCACCAGGGGCTCCTAACAAAGTAAACTATTTGGGTTAAACATAAAAATCAGACAAAACTATATGATTCCATCCTTGACAGTGTCATGTATCGAAAAAATTGTGGCGTATGGCTTTAAACCAGGGGTCTAAATAAGGCCCGGGGGCTGGATATGGCCCTCCAAGGCCCTCGCTCAAGGTCAACCTAAGCCTGAAATGACTTGAAAGCAAATAACAACAACAACAACAACAACAACAACAACAATCCTATCTCATCAGTCAAAAGCAGGCCCACACTTCCCATTGAAATACTACTTAGTATATATATATATACAAATATATACTAAGTTTATATTTGTATTGTTTTTAAGTGGGGTTTTTTTCACTACAAATAAGATATGTGCATAGGAATTCATTCATTTTTTTAAAAAATTACAATCCAGCCCTCGAACAGTTTGAGGGACTGTGACCTGGCCCTCTGTTTTAAAAGTTTATGGATTCCTCTTTTAAACAATGGCACACAGTGGGACTGGAAATGGCCATTCATGAAGTCATTGGCTACCAGTGTATGCTACTGATGTCCAAAAGTGGCAGAAGCAGCAGAAATGGGAAGATGCCAGCAGTTTTTCAACAGATGCTTTCATGGCCATGTGATGAATTCAAACATCAGGCTGAATTCAAATATCAGGTTTATTGGTTTGTTACTTAACTTCAAGATATAGCAAAGGAGGCATGGAGAGCCTTACCAATCCAAGCCAGACTGAATCTACGCTACAACATAATCCAGTTTCTAAATCCAGATTATCTGCTTTGAACTGAATTATATGAGTCTACACTGCCATATAATCCAGTTCAAAGCCAATAATCTGGATTCAGAAACTGGATAGTGTAGATCCAGCCTCAGTATGACAGCTGAGTGCATCAGCAAGATGCTAATATAACGTTAAATAGTATTGTGAAAAGAGCAAAGGGTTGGGGAAACTATACCAGTAACTTCTTTGGGATCACCTTTATGACAAATTTTTGTTTACACTGGGTTTGATCAGTGTCCCCTATTCTCAGAAATGTAGCTAGGTTTCCTGGCTAGGTTTGATGAATCCCCCAGGAATACTTTAAGCCAACAACGCAAGGGTGACATGCTGTGAAGGTTTGACTACTAGCCTGGAGACACGCCAAGGCCATGTACTTTTCTTTGAAAGTTTTACTAGACACAAGCCATGCAAGGGCATCATACCATGAAGGTTTGACTATTAGCCTGGAGCCATGCCAAGGCAATGTACTTCTCTTTGAAGTTTTTACTAGACATGAGCCGTGCAAGGGCAACAGTTTGTGATGGTTTGACTACTTTCGCCTGCAGCTACAGAAAGAAATGCTACTTTCTTTGTCCTCTATATAAAAAAGAGCACATTCTTTGCAGTGTAAATGAGCAGTGCACCCTATGTTCACATAGACAAGCCTAGCCCCTGCGTTTGACAGATTAAATCTTACCCTAACCCAGACATGTGCCGAGGACTGTGGCTACTTTTGAGCAGCATGCTTCTTGTGGTCATGGTGATTTTGTTTGCACTATGTTAATGAAGCATTTTTTTTCCGGTTGTGATAGTTTATCAAAATAAGAAACAAGGGAATTTAGGAGACAAGGATGCTTATTTTAGTGGAAATAAAACCCTTTAAGGGGAGCAGAGGGCATGGCAGGATTCCACCCTGACTTGGCATTCACGCTATCGGGCAGAAGTCCAAATGAAATTGACACTTTGGCACTTTAGTTGTGAATGGAAGGCAGCGAGCTTCAGCTACAGATGGTCTGCATTATAAGCTGTGTTTTTATTTTATTTTATGTGATGATAGTGGTTGTTTTTATATTTATTTGTTTGTTTAAAACATTTGTATTCCGCTCTTCTCATCCTGAAGGGGACTCAGGGCAGAGCACAGCATATATACGGCAAGCATTCCATGGTGGGATATAAAATAACTATAAATGTTCACAAACAATAACATTGGTTATCTTCACATTAAAAAGAACTGTTTAGAACCGTCTCAAATCATCCATATCGAATCCAATCAGCAGGGTAAAGTTTCCTATTGCTGCCTTATTGCACTGTCCCAAAGGCTTGGTCCCACAGCCAAGTTTTTATCATCTTTCTGAAGGATAGGAGGGAGGGGGCTGATCTAACCTCACCAGGGGGGGAGTTCCATTGCTGAGGGGCAATCACTAAGAAGGCCCTCTCTCTTTTCCCTGCCAATCGTGCCTGTGATGGTGGCAGGACTGAGAGCAAAACCTCCCCAGAAGATCTTCATCTCCATGGTAGTTCATAGAGGGATATGCATTTGGATAGGTAGATCGGGCCAGGGCCATTTAGGGCTTTATAGGCCAAAGCTAGCACTGAATTGTGTTCGGTAGCGAACTGGCAACCAGTGGAGCTGATGCAACGTAGGAGTTGTGTGCTCCCTATATGCCGCTGCAGTTATTAACCTGGCTGTCCAGGCCCGTAGCAAGAATTTTGATTCGGGGGGGGGGGGGGGGGGGGGCTGAGTCTGAGTGAAAGAGGGTCTACCTTAGCAAACCTTTTGTATCATTACCCCAATACCCCATGCATATGGGATATATTGAGCATGGTGATCAGATCATGATATGAATAAACATAACAGTTTAAATAATGCACCAGTAAGGCCTTCTCTTGGGCCACCATGAAAATTTGCGGGGGGGGGAGGCTGAAGCCCCTCGCGCCCCCCCCCCCCCCCGGCTACATGCCTGTGGCTGCCTCTTGTTGGATTATTTGAAGCTTCTGAACAGTCTTCAAAGGCAACCCCATGTAGAGCATGTTGCAATAGTCTATCCTAGATGTAACGAGAGTGTGGACCACTGTGACCAATTCTGACTTCCCAAGGTATGGGCGCAACTGGCAGACAAGTTTTAATTGTGCAAAAGCCCCCCTGGCCACTGCTGAAACCTGAAGTTCCAGGCTCAGCAATAAGGACTCCCAAGATGCGAACCTACGTCTTCAAGGGGTTATATTTTTTATGTGTTATTGTTTTTATACCTATGTACCCAGAGGCGGCCCTAGGTAATTTTCAATGGTAAGCAAACAGTATTTTGCCCCCCCATCCCATCACTGATATATATTTTCTGTTCGTCGTGGGAGTTCTGTGTGCCATATTTGGTTCAATTCCATCATTGGTGGAGTTCAGAATGCTCTTTGATTGTAGGTGAACTATACATCCCAGTAACTACAACTCATGTATGTCAAGGTCTATTTCCCCCCAAGAGTGCCTCAAGAGCGCCCCTGGACAAAATCAACTATACTGCAAATGCTTACTTTGCGTAATGGGTTGAGCCGCCCTGTATGTACTGTTTATGTTATATACTACAGTTGTAGTGCCTTGTAAGTCAGCCTAGGTCCCTTTTGGGAGATCATGATGAGAAATAAATAAAATTTATTATCATTTATTATTATTTTGCAGCTGTTTATATTTTTATGTACATTGTGTGATGACATCTCCTTTATTAAACTTCTTCTCATCTGACTTCCCTCTCTACCTGAAGCCTTCATCTACACAAAGAAAATGCATATTATTTGACCAGACAAATGTAAGGAGGAAGGGAAGGCAATGTTTTCTTTCTTCAAAAGAATTTTCACAGACCATTTTCAGAGTCATAACAGTCTAGATTAGGGGCTGTGGCTAGCACAACCCTTAAACCGCCAGCTATAGAAAATCTTGTCCTACCTTCTACCAAAGATGTTAAGAGGGTGACGTTGGCTGCTTTCCTCCTTCCAGCAGGCAAATTGAGACCCAGTCTGTCCAGTTTTTCTCGTAAGCAACGTCCTCCATTCTTGGATTTTGCTCTGTGAGGGAGAAAAGGTAGAAACAGGGGCGAGAGATAGAAAATGTCATTTTGATTGTTTTGCCATTCCCTCCTTCTCCTCTTTTTCTCTTTTTTTAAAAAAACCCTCAAATGTCTACCTAATAATGGCATATTCATAGTTGCAGCCACTGGGCCTTCTTGGTAGACGTTGACAGAAAATATCTGCAGTAAAATAAGACTGGTGTCCCTTGATCTCCTTAAACTGCAAGACGTCCATGGCCAGATCTCTCAATATCTCACCACCCCCCCCTTCCAATGACTTTTGAGGATTAGTTGGAAGGAAACAGGCCAGGCATTGGCTGCAGGTTATTTTAATACTACAAATCACATATAGTGGTGATGATTTCTGAAATTCTTAAAGGGCCTATTGAAAGGTCTGTTGTTTTTACAGAGTGAAATGGGAAAGTCTGTATTCCTTTCCCTTCATTCTTTTATTTCATGGTTTCCATTTTGTTTTACATGCTGATGGACCATATGCCAGTTCTCAGTTCCTTCAGCTTAGGGTTTCCCACCTTCTCTTTACTATGGAGATGTTTGTGTGCCTTGTTAAGATGCACCTCTCTGCAATAAATGTAACAGGATCGTACCTAGAGGTATGCCCAGATACTTTTTATTTTGTATTTATTTATTTATTTATAACCCGCCTTTCTCAGCCATATGGCAACTCAAGGCGGGTTACAGATTGGCACAATTCAATTTCAGGCATTCATAAAAGTGCCATTAAAAACAATCAATATTACAATATAAAACATATATGAAAACTGTTAAAGCATATAATCATCAGTGTCATCTTGTTAAAAACATTCTCCAGTAACATCATCTGGTCATTCCATGTTCATCATAGTTCTGTATTATCTATTCTGCTGCATTCTCAAAAGCTTGCTCAAAGACCCAGGTCTTTACTTTTTTTGGAAAGTCGGGAGGGGGGGGGACCAATCTAATATCCCTGGGGAGGGAGTTTCATAGCCCTGTCCTTCGTCTCTGCCAATCGCACTTCCAAGGCAGGCGGGATCGAGAGCAGAACCTCCTCAGATGGTTCATAGGAGGAGATATGTTCAGACAGGTAAGCTGGGCTGGAATCGTTTAGGGCTTTATAAGCTAAAGCCAGCATTTTGAATTGTACTCAGTAGCAAATTGGCAGCCAGTGGAGTAGTGTGTTCCCTGAACTCCACTCCTGTTAGTAACCTGGCTGCCATCTGTTGGACCATTTGAATCTTCCAAACAGTCTTCAAAGGCAACCCCGCATTTATGCGGGTGCACTTGAAAATGAATTGCAGAAAGTGCAAAAATCCTCCAAAATTTGGTCTGCAAGCATCATATTATTTCCTGTTTTAATTGAGAATTGAGAGGAAAGAATATATTTGAAAGGGGTTGGGTGGGGTTGATGAGTTTGGGAGTTGAACAGGGATTTGTATGTGTTTACATAGATGGGAATAGTCTTTGGGTGCAATGTTCAAGCGATTGTACTCCAAATTGCATTAAAAAAAGAAGAAGAATTAGCTTTGAGCTATTGGTAAGGACCTCAGAGGCCACAAAACTGAGAATTACATCCTACCCTGGGCTACTAGATGGGGAAATGGTATTCCAGAGCATAAAATGGTTTCCTATATTCCATTTAATAAACTTATTAAAAACGAATGAAAATTGCATCAAGTAGATTCATTTCTATAAACATTCACTCAGGAGTGGCCAATGGTCCAAAAGAAGGAGGCATACCTCATCCTACCAAATGCTCAGAAATTTGATGCTAAATAGACAGAAAGATTCTTTTAGTTTGGATTACTTTTTAAACTTTATTTATAGACCACTCTAAGTCCCTTCGGAGAGAGAGGGCAGTCTAGAAAATAATAATAATAATAATTATTATTATTATTATTATTATTATTATTATTATTTGTAGGTTGACTTCATACGTGACAACTCCCAGGGCAGCTGAGCAACTGGCTTCATGTTTTCTGCATTTTAGCAAAATGCAGACTTAACCATTTGTTTATTTATTTTGTGTCAAAAGCTTTGCATAAATAAACAAGTATAAAACTGATAAAATAGAGGGAACGCAAGCGGCTATATAATTTTAGACCAAAAAACAGGCAATAGCGACCGCATTGTCTGTAGCTTTAAACAGTTCTTCCTCTGTGCATAAGGGAGGGCATTGTGGACAAGCATACACATGCTGAGTTGTTTGTTCTGCTCCACAGTCACAGTGCACCTTAAACCATCATACTGCTGCTTTTAAAGAAGGAATTCTAAGCAGGCGGCAACTGTAATGCATACCTTTTTCAGCCAAATTACATAAATGCACATTTATTGTTGTTGTTTTGTTGTTATTTATACCCTCCTTTTTCTCACCACAAATGAGAGAAAAAGTACATTACATTTGGTATTAAATACTTTTTTTTTAATGTTCCATGGTTTTTAAAATTGAGGTGCACATTAGATTCAATGAGTAAATACGGTGGTGCAATGTGACTTTAAGGTGACCATTCTACAGCTACCCACCATGGATTAATTCTCCCATTACATGTTATGTGATTTATTTCTGAAAACATATGTTGAGGATTGCGCTGTTATATTGGTGAACAAGTACAAGGGTGTTCAATTAAAAGGTGTATTTTTTCTGCTTTACTTGATATAGCTACGCTAAAGTCTTCCTTACCTTCTCAAAATGCCTCCCAACAGAGAGGCGTTGAGGCATTCTGGGGGCGACAAGCGTCTCTTCACCTCTGCGATGGTCACTTTGTATTTGGAAGTGGAGCTGAGTAAAGATAAGCGCCCAGGAACAGAGCAAAAGAGATCCGTGGGGTTAACTACACATGTGCCACCTGAAAAGGTATACATGACATGCATTAGAAAGGGATCTGGCATCAGAAGGGTGAAGTAGGGGAACTAAAATGTTTCTGGAAGATATGTCAGGGAAGTATATAGCAGGTTTTTTTTCACTGAAAAAAATCATTTTATTTATTTTGTATCAAAAGCATTGCATAAATTAGTATAAAAAGTAGAAGGAGTGCAGGCGGCTAAATATCTTTTGACCAAAAACGGGCAACAGCAACGGCACTGTCTGTAGCCTCCAACAATTCTTCCTCTGTACATGAGGCAGGGCATAGTAGGCAAGCATACAGATGCAGAGTTGTCTGTTCTGCTCCATAGTCATACAAGGTGAAAGTTGATAGAATTGCTAATGTTCTAAAAATGTAACTCAATATCTAAAAGGAGGCTTATAGGATATGTCAGCATTTGCTATGCTACAAATAGTAAGTTATAACGGATAGTTTCCAAATAATGTAACATTTGTATTAATATTTGTAACTTTCAAGCTGGAGGCAGAGGAGGATCAAACTTCACATCAATCAAAAGTCTTAAAGAATGTCCACTTGTCAAAAGTAGTCATGAAATAGTTCTCTCCCATGGTGATACAATGTCTAAGTGTCCTGGGATGTTGTCCCCCACCCACCCCTTAATTCAACAAGAAATATGGTTGCATTTTTGCCAAGACTATTAAAGGCAGCAGTGGGAATCATGTGGACCTCCAAATATTGTTGGACTGCCACTTCATTCAGTCTTTGGCAGCTTAGCTGGTGATGGGGAATTGTGGAAACTTCAGAAGTGACATAGGATTCCTTCCTACCCCTGATTGAAAGAAATCCCATTGTGCTATCAGATTTCTTAATAGAATCCTGTTTAAATATTCAATTTGATAGCAATTGAATATGACCCCCTGGTAGGGTCATGTAGGGGTTTCAGAGGGGTCACCAAAGACCATCAGAAAAACACATATTTCTGATGGCCTTGAGAACCCCTTTGGCAGAGAAGGCTGAAAATCTCTCTGCTTGTCCTACTTTTCCTTTTTGAAAACAGATGGTGAATCCTGCCACTAAAAGCCCTCCACCTGCTCTCTGGGTGTAGCTGAACTAACACTCCAAAACTCAAGGTCAATGCCCAACCTTACAATATTTTCTGGTCATGAGAGTTTCTGTATGCCAAGATTGGTTCAATTCCATCGTTGGTGGAGTTCAGAATGCTCTTTGATTGTAGATTAATTATAAATCCCAGAAACTACAACTCCCAAATGTCAAGGTCTATTTCTCCCCCAGACTCCACCTGTGTTCACATTTGGGCATATTGAGTATTTGTGCCGCATTTGGTCCAGACCCATCATTGTTTTAGTCTGCAGTGCTCTCTAGATGTAGGTAAACTACAACTCCAACACTCAAGGTCAATGCCCACCAAACCCTTCCAGTATTTCGTGTTGGTCATTTGGACATATTGAGTAATATGTCCAGAGGAGGGCGACTAAAATGATTAAGGGTCTGGAGAACAAGCCCTATGAGGAGTGGCTTAAGGAGCTGGGCACGTTTAGCCTGAAGAAGAGAAGGCTGAGAGGAGATATGATAGCCATGTATAAATATGTGAGAGGAAGCCACAGGGAGGAGGGAGCAAGGTTGTTTTCTGCTTCCTTGGAGACTAGGACGTGGAACAATGGCTTCAAACTACAAGAAAGGAGATTCCATCTGAACATGAGCAAGAACTTCCTGACTGCGAGAGCCATTCAGCAGTGGAACTCTCTGCCCCAGAGTGTGGTGGAGGCGCCTTCTTTGGAAGCTTTTAAACAGAGGCTGGATGGCCATCTGTCAGGGGTGATTTGAATGCAATATTCCTGCTTCTTGGCAGGGGGTTGGACTGGATGGCCCATGAGGTCTCTTCCAACTCTAGGATTCTATGATTCTATGATTCTATGCTAATTTGGTCCAGATCCATCATTGTTTGAGTCCATAGTGCTCTCTGGATGTAGGTGAACTACAACTTCAACACTCAAGGTCAATGCCCACCAAACCCTTCCAGTATTTTCTGTTTGTCATAGGAAATCTTGCCAAGTTTGGTCCAGATACATCATTGTTTGAGTCCACAGTGCTCTCTGGATGTAGGTGAACTACAACTCCCAAACTCAAGGTCAATGCCCACCAAACCCTTCCAGTATTTTCTGTTGGTCATGGGAGGTCTGTGTGCCAAGTTTGGTTCAATTCCATCATTGGTGGAGTTCAGAATGCTCTTTGATTGTAGGTGAACTATAAATCCCAGCAATTACAACTCCCAAATGTCAAGGTCTATTTTCCCCAAACTCCACCTGTGTGCACATTTAGGCATATCAAGTATTTGTGCCAAATTTGTTCCAGTGAATGAAAATAAATCCTGCATATCAAATATTTCCATTATGATTCATAACAGTAGCAAAATTACAGTTATGACATAGCAATTAAAATAATTTTATGGTTGGGGGTCACCACAACATAAGGAACTGTATTAAGGGGTCACAGCACTAGGAAGCTTGATAACTGCTGGTCTAGAGTACCATCATCTTAAACTGTGTGTCCCAACCTCAAATGGGATCCCCTTAGCTCAATGTTGAGGTCCCGAAAAATTTGGCAACAGTAAAATAAGAACATCAATTAGTGGTTGTTTTAGACATTTATGCAAATCTGTTGTGCAGTGTGGATGCTGCAGCAAATCCTTCAGCTGCACTTCACAAAAACGGAAACCAATTCTATTTAGCAAGCTTTGCAAATGCTGATTTGTTATCAGTCAATGCTTGATTTTTCATGCCTATTTTATGTATCTACATACGTGGGGTCACATACAAGGCTCAACCCCCAGTGCAAAATTGTGCCTTGTCTGCATTTCCACACACTTATAATTCTAAGGAAGTTCTACTCTTCCTTCCTGTTCACCCAGTTTTTCTGTTCGGCCAGATAATGTATAAATGAATTTAATTATACTGGAAGGCATTCTGCATTTCAGCTCTTGATAGGGTAGCTTGCAGGCAGGCAGAGAATTACTTGCAGTCATAGATCTTTCTATTGCAATGCAAGAAACAAATTAACTACTCCGCAATTTACAAACACCGAGGAAGTGCAGCAATGAAATATTAATATTTCTCTTACACAGTCCAACCCATGTGTGCATAAACCATTTGTGCTGAACAAACAATTGCTCTTTTAATAGGAAAGTGCTTTGTTCCCACCTGCTTTACCTTTTTTTTTTTCCAAAGCAGGCTTTGTAACAGAACAAAAAGCATGTGTTCCATCAATGCCCGGGCAAGACTTTCAAATCAACCCAGATGAATGGAGGCTATGCAGAGCAACCTTGAAAACAGGGCAAGACTGAAAACCCTGGTAGGGCTCCATTGGGCTGCTTCAGCTTCCTCACCTGAAAGCACTCTCCCTTGCCAAAATGGTCCTCCAAGTGCTTTGGCAGCTGCCATTTGGCAAGCACAAGCCCAGCTCTGCCTCTGATGAGTATCTTTGCCATTACTTTTGCTTGGATCCCATCAGTCCTTCTGATTAGTCTATCTACCTACATATCAATCTCTGTCTAATCTATCTATCTTATCTATCTAAAGGATTGCTGGGAGTTGCAGTCCAGGAATAGGAAATTGGAAATATGCAGGGGTTGGGATGCTCTCAAAGAAATCTAAGGAAAAGAAATGTTGCATCTTGGAAGCAATGCATTTGGATCATCCTCCTCTCCTATAGGGGATGCTGGGAGCTGTAGTCTAGAAGAGAGTATGGATATGCTATTGTGTTTTTGTTTGCAGGGAGAGGGGGGAGTCATTTTTGTGCATGCGCTGTAGCATCTTTTTACTTTTTTTGGATTTTAAGTCCTATGTTTTCAGTGGTTTTATAAGTAATGGTCACTTGTTGGCCTGATAGGTGTATTGTGTCCAAATTTGGTGTCAATTTGTCCAGTGGTTTTTGAGTTATGCTAATCCCACAAACGAACATTAGATTTATATATATATAGCTATTATTAATAATACTAGCCATTCCCTGCCACACCTTGCTGTGGTCCAGTCTGGTGATCTCAAAAATAAAGTAATGAGAAAGTGTTGATTTCTAATCTATGTAATGTTTTGATGCTTGTGGGTAAAGAGAGTTTTTTTTTTACTATTTCTTTGTCAGTGTTGATGTAGAAATGTATTTCCTATTGGTCATACATAGGGGTTCTGTGTGGGAGGTTTGGCCCAATTCTATTGTTGGTGGGGTTTAGAATGCTCTTTGATTGTAGGTGAACTATAAATTCCCAAATGTCAAGGTCTGTTTTCCCCTAACTCCATCTGTGTTTACATTTGGGCATATGGAGTATTCGTGCCAAGTTTGGTCCAGACCCATCATTGTTTGAGTCCAGAGTGCTCTCTACATGCAGGTGAACTACAACTCCCAAACTCAAGGTCAATGCCCACCAAACCCTTCCAGTATTTTCTGTTGGTCATGGGAGTTGTGTGTGCCAAGATTAGCCAATTCCATCATTGGTGGGGTTCAGAATGCTCTTTGATTGTAGGTGAACTGTAAATCCCAGCAACTACAACTCCCAAATGACCGAATCCATTTTTGAGTGATGGTCACTTGTTGGCCTGATAGGTGTATTGTGTCCAAATTTGGTGTCAATTCGCCCACAAACGAACATTACATTTTTATTTATATAGATATTATTAATAACTAGCCATTCCCTGGAAAATAAAGTAATGTAATTTCTTTATGCTTGTGGGTAAACAGTATTTCTTGCTGTGTTTTTGTCAGTGTTAATGTAGAGATTGTCTAGTTGGCCTACTCTGATTCACGCAACATAGAATTGTCCTTGTTTAGGGGTCCCTTTCAAATCTATGATACTATATCTGTGTCATATATATCTCTCTATATCTATATCTATACCTGGGTGGCTCTTTGTCAGGAGGGCTTTGATTAGTTTTCTTGCCCTGGTGAAGAGAGTTGGACTGGATGGCCTTAAAGTTTGCTGTGTATGTGTACTGTAATCCGCCCTGAGTCTA